ATTGGAAATATCATGGCTTGTGTCAGGCGCACCTTAGTCCTCCAGGAGATATCCTTGCTCCTCAGCACTTGATACAGTTCCTTCGCAGTTGACTTTCCCAATGCTACACGTCGTCTAATGTTAGGACATTAGATTCTTTCTTCTTACAATCATTTAAATAGACTATAAGGACATGTAGTTTTTATCTTCTTAAATGTGAATTTTTCTCTTTTGACTTATTGGAGAATTAAAGGTATTAGAATATAGTGTAAAGAAATACTGTTATTATCTTGTATGACCTTTATTTTTTTTTTTTTTCTGGACTCAGTTTTCCTATCTATACCAAAAACAGTTGCCATTCAGCCAACTCTGACTTGTCGTGACCCCATGTATGTTAGAATAGAATTGTGCTACTTAGAATTTTTTTTTTTTAATTGTGCTTTGAATGAAAGTTTACAGAGCAAATTACTGTTTCCAGGTCAACAATTTATACATATTTTGTGTCATGACCTTAGTTGCAGTCCCCTCAACGTAACTGTATTCTTCCCACTTTTTCCTAGGTTCCTTGTTTTAATTTTCTTATCTTTCCTGCCCCTACCTGCCTTCTGAAGATTGTTTTTGGTCTTGTATCGTTGATCTGAGGAGCACATTGCGCATGGGTGTTATTGTTCACTTCATAGGCTTGTGTGATTTTTGGGAGAAAGGTAATCTCTAGGAGTGGGTTCTGTTCCAGGTTTGAAGGGTATCTAAGGGTCAAACTCTCAGGGATAACACCAGTCTCTATCAGACCAGTAAGTCTGGTCTTTTTTTTATTGTGATTTGTGTGAAGATTTACAGAGCAAATTCACGTTCCATACAGCAGTTCACATATACTTTGTGTCATGTTGTTGACCACAGTTTACCACAATGCAACAGCTCCCCTCCCACTTCCTCCCCATAGTTACCTCTTTCCAGTGACCATCCCTCCATACTCTCCTGTGTCCTGAGCTGTCTCTCTGTGCATAAGCAGCCCTTCGTTCTCCCATGATTGTTCTCTCCAGGGCATGTGTCTATTTGAGGTAAATGTTTAACTCACATGCCTGTACTTTGTTTGGCTGGAAACCACAGGTGTGGGTTCAATTCCAGACCTGAAGGGCA